CAGCCTCTTACTCTGGCATTGAACACAAGAACTCTGCTTTCTGCCAAAATCAGGATTGTGCTGTTCAAGTGGTGTTAAAATCCAGATGCACAGCTAGAATAAATTATTATTATTATATTATTATTACTACTACTATTACTATTATTACTATTATTACTGTTATTATTGTTGTTATTATCATCATCATTATTATCATCATTATCATCATTATCATTATCATAATTATCATCATTATCATCATTATTGTCATTATTGTTATCATCATTATTATCATAATTATAATTATCATAATTATTATCATTATCATCATTATCATTATTATCATCATTCTCATCACTCTCATCACTTATCATCATCATTATCATTATTACTATCATTATTATCATCATAATAATTACCATTATTATTATCATCACTATTGTAATTATTATCATCATTATCATCATTATCATTATTACTATTATCATTATTATCATTATAATAATTACCATTATTATTATCATCATAATTATAATCATCATTATCATCATTATCATCATTATCATCATTCTCATCATTCTCATCACTCTTATCATCATTATCATCATTCTCATCATTCTCATCACTCTTATCATCATTATCATCATTATCATTATTACTATTATCATTATTATCATCATTATTACTATTACTATTATTACAGTTTATGTATGTTGTATTTAGAGAAGGAACAATTTCACATATCACAAAAGATATGAAAATTTCTTAGATTTTTGCCATTATTCTGGTAACATTTTGTGATCTAGAAGGGTTTTTCACAGAGGGCCCAATAAGCACACGGTGTCAGGAATTGGTAAATATTTTAATTTTCCCCAAAGCTCATTCCCAGTGTTTCATTAAGCTCTTAATGAAGGCAGTGTCAGTCACTTGGAGAGCACTGGGATCCTTATGGTCAGCTCCATGTTAAAGGTGGAGCCTGGGCCACAGACACAGAATCCACTGATATTTTAGTGAAGGGTTTTAAAAGGAGAATTCCTTCAGCTGCAGGAGAATGTCCCCACCTGAGCTGCCTTAACTCTTAATCCCCTCCAGTGCAGAGTCAGCTGTAGGTTAATTAAATCACAGGCAGATCAATTAATCTAAATTTAGGTTACAGGTGAATGTTTGTGTGTCTGATACAGCACACCTCGAGTTTCCAACTGCAATTCCAGGTACAGTTTTAGGGACATTTACATTTCATTTGTGTCTGGCATGAGCAACTCAAAGGAGGGAACAGCAGAGAAAAGGGAGATAATCAATGATTTCAAAGTACAGTAAATACTCTGTAGAATCCCAGCTGGTTTGGGTTGGAAGGAACCTTCAGGATCACCTTGTTCTGGTTTTCCTCCTGTTTGAGGAGAGGGAATTGTGGACATGCAGAGTCTTGTCCCAGGTGGGATATCTCAGGTGTTGTGTTTGTATTAAAAAGGAACACAACTTTGGTTTAAACACTTCAAAAAAGCTGTGATTTTGAGGGACAACAAAGCAAGGATTTAACATCTTCTGTTGAGAGGGTCCACGTGCAGAAGGTGATTTTTGCATCCCAAACTCTGAAAATTCCACTCATCAGCACAAACCACTGGGAAACATGTTTAATAGCTAAATGAATGATTTATGTACATTTTAATTATACTAGCAAATTATATACAAACCCCCCTGAGGCAGCCTTTGGATAGATCCTATTCAGGTCTGCTAGATCTAATTTTATTCATTAAATATTGATGTTTCAATGAGTAACAAATAATTAATAAATAATAATTATATATAAAATATTAATAATAATAAATAATTTGCTTTCTGCCTAGCCCTGATATGAATGAGGTTTTGCAGAGGATCACTGGGGATCTCTCAGGAGTTTTCCATGTGCTGTATTTCCCTTTTCCAGAGTACATTGCCATGTACACCTACGAGAGCTCGGAGCAGGGAGACCTCACTTTCCAACAAGGTGACCTGATCCTGGTGACAAAGAAAGATGGTGACTTCAGGAGTTTTCCCATCTAATTATGTGAGACTCAAAGATTCTGAGGTAGAGAAATGTTTTCTTTGGGGTTGTAGTGGTAGCTGCAAGGCAAGGGCATTGTAGGGGAAATAAAAACACATTGCAGATTTACTGAGAGTGGAAAGGAAAAACAATGACAATAGCAACAAGAGTTGCATTTCACAACTTAATATATCATAAATAAATAAATCAATCCTCATTGACTGGGGGATCATCCATTAAAATCATGCCAGTAGTGCACTTGGCAGTTTTTTAGACACTGATCAGAACATCCATGATTGTTTTATTACCCTGGTAAGTGTTTAATGCCTGAGCTGTATCCTACTGCCATTATTTTCAAAATCCCCAAAAATCTACACAGTAATATTTCAGTCTATTACATTTTTCCCCTATCATTTCTTGCAGTCAACAACAAATTTTCCACCAAAACTTTGCTAATTACTGTATTTATTTGACAGTTTTTGACTGAATAATAGAGGTTCTGTTTCATCTCTTTTTATCTTAAAATAACTCCATAGAACATATCCTTGTTTTTTTGTTTTTATTGATTTATTTTTAGGCATTCTAAAGTGAGATATTCTCTCATTTACATGGCTTGAGAGGATAATTTATCTCCCAGTAGGAATTAGTTTAGATGCAGAGTTGGGTACATGGCTGATCTCTTGATGAGAAGGATTCTGGTTTATATCTCTGGAATAATGGGGGGTTAAAGGTAAATCAGTAAAAACCAGTGGATTTTGGGCAATCTGGATGGTAATGCACAAATACTCAATGAAAGACTGCAACACAGAGCCTGAGCAGAGTCACTCCTTAAACCACTCCTGCTGCTGGAAAAGCCAGAGGGAAAAACCTGCAGTGAAATCTGCAGCTGCAGGAAACCTTTCAAGAGGAAATTCCTGTAGTGCCAAGAAATTCCAACAACATCTTCTGGGCCAGGACTAAAAACTTTGTGGTTAGAGATGTTTAATATTGCAGCCCTTGGAGAGATGGGATTTGGGCACTGCTGGCAAATCCTTGTGGAGATCTCACAGTTCAGTTCTGAGTCCCCTTTTGTCCAAGAGCTCAGTTTGGTGTTTGTGTCTCCTCAGCTTGGCTGGGGCTGCACCAGCTCCCTGCACTTCACCCAAAAGTGCTCCAAGTGCCCTTTTTGCTGGTGAAAATGCCACCTTCAGCTCCTCTCTTGATGAGAGAGGGAGGATGAAGCACAGAGCTGGCTGGGGTGTTGTTTTCATCCCAGGGTTCCTGTGCCTGCAGGATCTGGCTCCAAGTGGGGAATTGGGTTTTGCTCTCCAGTCTGGTCCCAGAGCCAGTTTTTGCAGAGGGTTTCACAGTCCTGGCTCTGTTTGCACTCAGATGTGCTGCTGTGTTTGGACAGCTGCCCAGGCCTGGAAAATGCTCTGAAAAGAGAAATAATTCCATGTGTTCTGCACTGCTGACAGGCCCAAAGAAAAGCAGGGGTGATCTTTCAGCAGCAAGGGCAGAGTTTCTAGAAATGACTCAAAATTTCAATGGTATCTACAGCACAAGAATTTCTTTAATTTGTTCTTTGCTAAGCTGTGCCTGTTCACCTCACGGTGCTAAAATAAACCCTTCCCTCTTCCTTCAAGCTTCAGTTTATTAAAAAAGTGGGAAAGTTTTTGTTCTTCAGAGGAACAATGGCACAATGGCCCATCCTGAGGGTTTTCCTTAGTGGGAGCTGAGTGGATACAGGGTTTTATTCTGGACCCTGGTGAGAATTCCCTCTGTGGGGATGGAGCTCAGGGGGGGGCTTGGAAACAACAATTTCAAAACATCTGATTATAAAACTTCACATAGGGGTTCAGAAAATAATCCCTGAATGGATCCAGTTGGGATTTGAAGGGTCCTGTACAACACAATTGGCAAGGCCTTGCTGGGGTTTATTAAATTTCCAAAGCCAGTTCTGCTCTGCTGGCTTTGGAGACTTGATCACTTGTCACAAAATGTCCTCAGGTGCTCAGTGAGTGTCCCAGGTGTGCAGGGGGATAGAACAGGGCCTGTCCTCGCTGCTGTTTTCTCTCAGCACAAGGAATAGGAAATGTTTCTCCATCTCCTGAGTGGGCCAGAAATGGGAACCATCCTAAATGCTTTATTTATGAATTTAGGTATTTACTGAAGTGCTGTGGGATTTTTCCATCTGTTCCTTCTGGTTTTGCACTGAGGATTCAGAGAATCCTCAAAGACAATTCAGACTCGGTCTGGTCAAGGTGGTTTTGAAGTTTGTATTTTAAAATCATCTCTCTGTTTCACAGTAAAGACAATATCCCAGCCTGTTTGCTCTGTCCATGTGCTGCTAATCCAGCAGCGTGGATGCTGACCAGGGGATGTTTGGGAGGAGGGGTTCTCTGAAGGTCCAGGCACTTGTTCTTTCCTGAGGAGGGCAGAGGCTGTTCCTCTGCCAGAAACACTTCCTGGGATCACCCTGTCAGTCCTTTGGTTCATCCTTCTCCATGGGGCACTGGAGGCCCTCTCCCCCTGTCCCAGAGCTGCACTGGGATCTGTCCCTGAGCCCTGGGGGCTTTCCTGGCTCCCTGCTCTGGGAGCCAGCCCAGGGCTGCAGGGAGGGCTGAGATCTGGGGACATTCAGAGGAACTCAGGGAGGAGAGGAAGATTTGCTGCTCCTGTGGGGTATAACTGTAATAACCTGTCAGTGACAGGAAAGGAGCACTGAGACATCAAGGCAAGGCAAGGTGTACTAATAATCCATTTTATAGGGGACTCAGAACCAGCACAGGGGTTTGAATGGCCCTTTCCTCTCAGCCACAGAACTGTTCTTTAGTTACTCCTCAGATTCATTTCTGCCAGAATCCCCAAGTTTCCAAAGCATCAGTTGACAGGGAGAATATGGATGAGGAAACTGTGCTTTTCCACAGAGGATTTAGGATTCTGTGGAAGCCTTCAGGTGGTTTGATGTTGGCTCCAATTTTGTAAGGAGGATCCTGAAGTTGAAGAAGGTGAAGCTGGGGGAGGTGGAAGTGTTGAAGGCAAGAGGACATTTATGGCTCCCCAACATTTCTGGCCACAGTACAGTTTAGATTAAAGTTGCTCTTACCCACCTCAGACCTCTTTACTGTAGGATATGAAACTGTCAGTGGCCTGGGAGGGAACTGCAGGATTATTTAGGGAGCAGGAACTGGACTGATGTCAGGTTTTGCTGGATTTCTTGTGGTTGTTCAAAGGCTTTGCTTCCCAATCCTGGGACCCTGATGTTCATCCCCCCCCTCACCCTGAGTGCAGGGAGTTTCTCAGGAATATTTGTAATCCAGCTGTTTGCAGGGATGAAAACTTCTATTGTTATTTCAGCTTCAGCTCCATAGAATTCCCATTCTGCAGATACATGGATTTGCAATTACAAATGGGATCTACTTTGGAATTACAAATGGGATCTACTTTGGAATTACAAATGGGATCTACTTTGGAATTACAAATGGGATATACTTTGTTATTTGCAGCCCATGAAAGGGAATAAAAGTTTGCTCTTCTGCATTAACAAATCATTCACTTCGTGCTTGGTATTTATTCCCTGATGTTTATTGCCATCTAAAATATTAAGGATTTCTGTAAGAACAGAATTTCCTGTGAGTTTTTGACTCCCATGCTTGTTGGGTGTGTTGAGTGAAGCTTTGTAAATAATTTTCATGTACTGGATAAAGAAACCTGAGTGCTAAACCTGCATCTTGTTCTCCATTTCAAGGCTCCAGGAGCAGCTGGGAAAACGGGAAGCTTAGGGAAGAAACCTGGTGAGTGAAATATTGTGACAGCACCTTCTCACTATTCTTGAAGTGTTCAATTCAGTGGCAACAAAACCTTTCTATAAAAATAGAGTATGCTTGCTCTTGGTCATCTTGGAGTAGTTTGCATTGATGAAAACCATTATAAGATAACTGGAAAAAATGCAGTTAATAAATAATGTAACTGTAATAAAAGAATTCACCCTCTAATCATTCTAGTGTGTTAATCACTAAATAACATGCAGCTAGAGAATAATAATCTGCTTGCTCAAAAGTGAATGTAAACTTCCTGATGGATTGCTCAGCAGAACAGGAGGAATTTTTTATTAAATACAGCAGGTGCAGGCAGGAGAGGGGAAAATTTAAACAGAGAAAATCCAAGAGCAGAGTCAGTGCTGGGTGAGGGCAAAGCCAGGGGGTTGTTGGGCTGGGAACGTGGCTGTGCTGCTGGAAAGGGCAGGGATAAATGAGATCTTGGGCAGGAATTGTTCCCTGGCAGGGTGGGCAGGGGCTGGGATGGAATTGCCAGAGCAGCTGGGGCTGCCCCTGGATCCCTGGCAGTGCCCAAGGCCAGGCTGGACATTGGGAGCTCCTGGGACAGTGGGAGGTGTCCCTGCCATGGCTGGGCTGGGAATGGGTGGGATTTGAGGTCCTTCCAGGCCAGGCCATCCCATGACTCCATGAATTTGTGTGCTAATCCCAGATCCAGGTTTAAAACACCTTTATAACTCAGCTCCAGGCCTCTCCATCACCTGCCTGGCTCCCCTTGCCTCTCCCTGCTTACAGATCCTGAAGGAGATCCTGTTGTAGTTGATTCCTGTGTCCTTTTCAGTGCCCTTGGATTGCTCCTCATCCTCCTTATGCTCCTCATTTATATCTCAAATGCTTCTCTGATAATTTTTTGTGTTCCTAATGGTCCTTTCCTTCTAAATTTCCCGTCAATCATTTGATTGTTTCCATGTTGGGCTTCAGCTCTCTCTGTATCTTCCCTGCACCAAACCTTCCCTCAGTTCCCAGCCTTCCAGGGTTGGTGGACTCCTCTGGCCCCAGCTGCCCTTGGAATGAATCCCTGAAGGATGAGTGACTGTCCTGGATCCCACAGGGAAGGTTCAGCAGCAGCAGCAGCCCCCTCTGGGTGTGTTTGACGTGTTCCCCTCACCCTGCCCATGGCCAAGCCTGGCTTGGGGAGGGCACCAGAATTCCTGCAGCTCCTCTCAGCTCCAGCTGCATCCAAACCTGCCTTAACCCTGTGGGGACCAGAATTGTTCCCTGCCTTTCCACAAGCACTGTGGAGCAGAGGAAGCTCCAACACCTGCTTTGTGTAAATCCCTGGAATTGTGAGCTCCCTGTTCCTCTGCTGGGAGGGGCCCAGGCAAGGCAGCTGTTCTGTGAGATCCAGAGATTGCCAGAGAAATCCTGTTTGCTGCATTTGGAAGACATTCAAAATGGGAAAAAAAATTCTGCCAGCCTTAATTTGCACCTCTTGGTGCAAATCTTCATTATTTTGTCATTGATTTGTCTCCTCTCCTTGGGGAACACAGTGCAAAGATGTATTTACTGGAAAACACTGATTTTTAAGAGTTTTACAGTTCCTATTCTTATTATTCTTACTACTATTATTATCATAGAGCTCCTGCACCTCTGGTTTATTACTTTTTATTGTAATTATTCCTATTAATTAATTAATAGGAATTAAACTTGTAATTATTCCTGTAGTGCTCTGAACCTCTCATTTATTTTACAATTACCACATATATTCATGGAAATACATAAATCCATAATAATTTTATGGAAAGAAATAACACAGAGTTATAGCAGAATTAACATTGGATAAAATGCATTCAGATTTTTTTCAAATTAACCTTTTCTTTCCTCCTCTGCTTCAACAGAAATTGCCCAAGTTATTGCCTCTTACACAGCAACAGGCCCAGAACAGCTGACTCTTGCTCCTGGCCAGTTGATCCTCATCAGAAAGAAGAATCCAGGTGGTTGGTGGGAAGGAGAGCTCCAAGTTAGTTCCTTTTTTCCTAGTAAAATTCAATTTTTTAAAAAAAGAATGTTGTTTTTTAGTAGTTCAAAATGCTGGCTGTGCCACTGAGAAATAGATTTGACAATGTTGTGCAGTGCAGCAGCTCCCAATAAACCCCTCCCCAGGGTTTATAATAATATATAATAATATATAATAATAATATATATATAAAAATATATATATGTGCTGTTGGTTTATTTGTGCAGTGCAGATCTCAGACTAATTCAGTTATTTTGAACACTTTGTACCTGCCCTTTTTGCCTTTGCTGGTGATATTTTTTTTTGTTGAGATAAAATCTCTCGTGAGAAATCCTCTTCCAGGATTCCTTTGGGGTTTTCTCTCACTAACCCTGATGCTGCTGGTAACTTCTAGCTTTAAGCAGTTTCCATTAAATGTATTTTTTAAGATGGAAAAGAAACTTCTCTGAGCAAGAGCTGTCACAGTTATCCCTGAGCAGCTGCTGTGAGGCTCTGAAACAATTAAATTTTGGTTGAATAAATGCTCCTGTGTAAGTTTAGACACTTTAATGTCTTAGATGTGGTTTTACAATTGGGTTTTATTTTGTTAGCAATCCCCAAGTGTTCTTGTAATTCTCCATTTCCACACTTGGGGGTCAGAGTGAAGGGAAAATAAGGAAAATGTTTTAAGAATTATATTGCCGTTTTAATGCAGTGCTCAAAAATATCTTAAATGATCTAAATAGACTTTAGATCAAGTGTTTTTTTAGTAAAGATTTGGAGAGGAAAGAAAGTAGTTCAAGAACAGTAAATCCTTTAGATGACATTTTTTTTTCCACCAAAGTTAACAATGTTTTTATGAGGCAAAATTCTCCTTGCCCAAAATGCCAACCTTAATTCTGACACGGAGAATAAACAGCTAAAATCATTCTTGATATAGGGTTAGGAGCTGGGATTCACAATTCTGGAAGAACCTTTCTTACTGTAAGGAATTTTTATGGATTTGGTGGAAAACGGGGATTGGAAATAACAGGAGGAGGTTTCCTGCTTTGGTGACACAAGGCATTGAAAAGCTTGGATGTGTCTCTGTAAAAGAAAAGAGAAAATTTGGATTCTTAATCTCCATTTAAACTGTCACAACCTGGGGATCTATTTAAACGTAATTCTTCACATCATGCAAGCCTTGAACTAGAAATGTGAATGTGTTGATGTTACAATATTCAGGCAGTGGCACAGAAAGAGCTGAGCTTTTCCTCAGCAAAGCCATTTTCCCGTGCTGAGCTGGGCTGTGAGCTCAGCTCGCGGTGCCTGCCCGAGGCTCCGGCTGAGCGGGCGCTGTCTCTGCAGGCGCGGGGCAAGAAGCGCCAGATCGGCTGGTTCCCCGCCAACTACGTCAAACTGCTGAGCCCTGGCACCAGCAAGAGCACCCCCACCGAGCTGCCCAGGCCTGCAGCAGCCTCAGGTGAGCCCTGCCCCGCGGCCTGGGCCTGCAGCTGGGAGGGGTGGGGGGCTCCAGAGCCTCGGGGGTGTTCCTGCATCTCCAATCCCATCCCCATCCCATCCCCATCCCAACCCATCCCATCNAACCCATCCCATCCTAACCCATCCCCAACCCATCCCCATCCCCATCCCATCCTAACCCATCCCCATCCCAACCCATCCCATCCTAACCCATCCCCATCCCCCTCTCCATCCCCATCCCCAACCCATCCCATTCCTGCCCTGCACTGTGGGACAGGAGCTCTGGGATATTCCTGCATCCCCCATCCCATTCCCATCCCGGGGCAGGAGCTGGGGAGGCTCAGGGGGATCCGGGCTGGGCACCTGGGGCTCCTCTCCTGCAGAAGCCCCCGTTTGTGCTGAGGTGATGAGGGACAAACCCCACGGGCAGGGAGCTCCTCCTGCACTTCAGGGTTTGGGAAAGGAGCCAGGAGCCACAGAACATGAACATTTCCCTGGAATCACAGCCTGCTTGGGCTGGAAGGGCCTTTCCAGATCCCATTCCTTGATCTTTGTGGAACTGGTGCTGACTGGCCCCTCTGGTGGTGTTTGTAAAGATCCAGAAAATGCCTTCTCTAAATGGAATTCAGGTTTAGAATGGTAACTCAGCACTGAGACACAACCTTCTTTTACAAGGAAATACAATGAGATTTTTTTTCTATATTTTTGAAATGATTTCAGGTTTGACAATCTGGGACTTCCCCCAGGCATTGAATTTTACAGAATAAAATTTCAGCACTTTTTGCATTGTCTGCAGAACATCAGAATCTTAATTACACTGTAATTTAAAAAAAAAGAGAGAAGTTGTTTGGCAAATTTGGCAAGTTGCTGGCTTGGAACAAGGATGAAAAGAAAAGCAAATTTTAGGATTAATCCACTGGAGGGAAGCTGCCAGCAAGGCTCATTAATAGAAGTCTGATGTCTGGTGGGAAAAACCAGAAGCCCTGTGGCCTGGCAAAGAGAAACCAGCAGAGAAATAGAGGGGATTATTTATTTAACTAAACAGTCCTGCTGCTTCAGAGAATTCAGGGAACTACTTTGTCAGAAGTGAGCAGAACCAGCTGCATCCTGAGACTGGATGAGTTCCACTGCCAGGAAATAGAAAATCCCTGCTGGAAGCAGTCCTGGGGTGCCAGCAGAGCAGCCTGGATGGCCTGGGATGCTTTTTCTCCAGTTCTGTTAATTTTCTCTTGTATTTTCCAACATTTTTTGTTCTGAAAACCTCACTGGGACAACAAGGACGTCAGCATTGGCTTTCTTTTGGATTATGCAGTTTCCAGTAGTGGAAGTTCAAATGTGTCCCACATTTTCCTGTCCTGGTGGGGGGTTCCAGGCCAGGCTGGAACACCCTGGGACAGTGGGAGATGTCCCTGTGCGTGCCAGGGGTGGCACTGGATGGGCTTTAATGTCCCTTCTGAGCCAAGCCCTGCTGGGATTGAAACTCTTTGGGATTTCTGAACCCCTGAGTCAGTTTGGGGGGGCTGAGCCGAGCCCCAGGATGGGCTCTGGTCACTGCAGGCTCCTGGAGCTGTCCTGAGCCACGGGCAGGGGCCAGAGGTGACCTCTGCAGGTGGGCAGGCTGGGTCTGGGGGTCAGGACACAGCCCGAGGCTGCCAGAGCTCCGGGAGCCTTTGGGGACCCCCAGGGGTGCCCAGGCTGGGGTTGTGGGGGTCTGGGCAGGGCAGGGTGGCAGCGGTGACCCTGCAGGGGGTGGCACTGACCGGGGGGTGCCCCTGTCCCCGCAGTGTGCCAGGTGATCGGCATGTACGACTACAGCGCGCAGAACGACGACGAGCTGGCCTTCAACAAGGGCCAGATCATCACCGTGCTCAACAGGGAGGACCCCGACTGGTGGAAGGGGGAGGTCAACGGCCACGTGGGGCTCTTCCCATCCAACTACGTGAAGCTGACCACGGACACGGACCCGAGCCAGCAGTGTGAGTGTGCGGCCGGGGCAGGTGGAACATGCAGCATTGCCGGGCCCCGCGCAGCCCCCGGGCTCTTTGAAGACCTTTCTGTCCCCCCCGTTGTGTTTGGTTTCCTTCCCATCCCCGGAGCACGTCCCCGTTTNCGTTTCCCCCCCCTGCTCCCCCATCCCCACCCAGATCATTTTTGCTCCATGCCTTGCCACGCCTGCCTCATTTCCCTAGCTTGAATTTGCTCATTGTTTTGTTTTGCTTATGTGTTGTTTTCCTCCTTTTTCTAGGAATCATATGTTGTCCATCCCCCACTCAGGCTTGAAAGTCCTCAAAGAGACCCACTATCCCATAGCAGTGCCCAGAGGGATGATGGGAGCCTTGATCATGTGCCTTCCAGCATGATCATCTACTGCCTTCTGAGTCAAGAACACACTGCACAGCAGTTTTACCTCATTTGACATTTAGTTGCATGGAATCGCAGTGGTCGAGCTAATCACCGACAAAATTAAACTGATTCAAAACAAAACAAAACAAAAAAACCACACAAAACACACACACACACACTAAAAAAAAATAATAATAAAAATAATCAGAGGATAGTGGGTCCTTTTGTGGCTTTCAGAGTTACCAAACTAATTTTTCCACCTTTGCACAGGTGCTTTTGGTAGTTTAAAAAAATTATTTTTTAAAGATATATTTTAGCCTTTTAAAGGAAAAGTATAAATTAAATTTTTTCATTGCAATTTTGTTTGTGCAAAAAGACCCACTATCAAGGAATGCTGCATGTGCTATTAAAATTGTTCCAAATGTCCATGAATTGGAGACTTTATGTATCTTTCTTTTTTATTGTTCACTTGTCCAGTGTTGTCAATATGTCTTTTTTTTTTTATTATTATTATTTTAATTTTCTTCTTTTTTTTTTTTTTCTTGGTTTTTTTATAATTTTTCTTTTTAATTACAAAAGAACAGAAGGAGTTTAAATCAGTTTAAGGAAGTTGAAATGTGCCCAGTTCCAGGTATTTTGTTGTAGTTACTGTACTGTTTGTAGCAGGTGTTGTTGTTGAGTGTGTAACCCATGGTGGAGAGGGGAAATGCCCTCCTCCCGTGAGCCTGGAGCGATGTTTTCCCCAGCTCTGTTGATTGGATTTTGCACATTTGTGGCTGCAGGCAGTGAGCAGCCAGCCTGCTCCTGGTGCTGTGCAGCGTTCCCTGGAATGTTCCTCCAGGGCTGGCAGAGCCCCCGGGGCTCCCTCCCTCCCTCCCTCCCTTTCTGTGCAGCACCGCCTGAACCAGTCATTTTCCTGACAAGAACGAATGTATAGAACCATCTCCCTGCGATTAATTTCCAATGTTTACATTTTTTGAAGCTAGACTGTGGAGTTTGTACGGATTAGCAGGAGCCGGAGCTGGCAGTGGAGTTGTAGCCGCGCCGTAGCCGAGCCGTGGCCGTGTCTAGCGTTAGTGGCCGGCTCTTGCTGAAATTCCTGCTGCTGGCAGTGCCCTCCTCCCAAAGCCTGGAGCACCACAGAGCCCTGCTACTAACGATTTACCACTGAGTTCCGTGCTGCTTTCCGTGTCCCACTGTCCCTGGAGCCCTCCCAGCCCAGCTCCCGCTCCCGACCCGTCCTGCGGTGCAAAGGACAAGTCAAGCTCCTTACTCAGTTGCACTTCAGTATTTCATCACTATGAATGTAAATTATATAAATATATAAAAACCTGCAGCTTTAACAACTGTAATACAGCCTTTCCAATTAGTTCCATGTATAGAGAATTAAATCCTTCCTACAAAAGAGGCCGACACGTGTTTGTTGTCTCGTTGCTGGGTCACACCGAGCTCGCCACGGGCCATGAGAGCACCGAGGGATTTGCCAGCAGCACAGCCTGGAGCCCTTTGCCCCTCACAGGGACAACTTCCTGGGTTCTTGGAACGTTGTTTCACTCTAATTACTCAGATTCATCATCCTCACCTGCAGCCTTTTGCCCCTCTGGCTGAGGGGGGATTGCTGGGGTGTCCTTGGGCTCCTGGTGGGACCCTTCCAGCTCAGGAGCCTCTGATTCCCTACCCAGGCTTTCTACGTGGTTCCAATCAGTGGATTTTGATACTTTTTTTTTTTAATAGATAAATTAAATATTCTTGCTTGGTTTGCCATGGGTTTACCTTGATTTGGGATGTGTTTTATACCAGAAGCTCAAATCTGAAAATATGCACAACTGCACAGATTTTCCTTCTTTTTAGGACAGTATTTAAGCTCTAATACATCCTTCATTTCTACCCTAAAAATATAATTCTCCATCATGGCCACTTGCTGACAACTGCAGAAATGGAACAGCCCATCCCACTTGTGATTTTCAGTGCTTTCTGTGGGGATGGAGCCAGATTTGACTCCACTCTGTCAATATTTTGTGCATTAACTGATATTTGAACGAGAGGATCTCTCTTTGCCCATCCTGAGCTGCTGGGATGAAAATCTGACTCGACTAAAGGCTTTGGCCATTAGGGACATTGTGGCTCCTGTGACTTCAGGCCACAGCTACAAACTGGATCTGTAGTGAAATATTTGCAGTAATTTAGCTGTAGGGGATTCAGGTGCTGCTCTTTTCTTTCTCTTTACATCAATTGGGAGGAAAAACGAGGCTCCTGCAGCGCCCTGCAGGGAGGAGCTGCTCTGCTGTGTCCTCCAGGGGCTGACACTGGAGCCTTTCAAAGTCACCAAGTCCTAAAAGTGACCTGGGAGGGGCATCTGGAGTTGTCCCGCTGTGACTCACAGGGAATCCCGGGATCCCTGGTGCTGGAAAAGCCCTCGCAGCCCAGGGAGTCCCAGCTGTGCCCAATGCCCACCTTGTCCCCAGCCCAGAGCCCTGAGTGCCACGTCCAGCCCTTCCTTGGGCACCTGCAGGGATGGGCACTGCAAAGCTCCCTGGGCAGCCCCTGCCAAGGCCTGAGCTCCCTTTCCATGGGCAAATTCCTGCTGCTGCCCACCCTGAGCACACACGAGGTGCTGCTTGTGCCAGGACCCCTCAGGCAGAAGAGCAAAAGAAATCTCATGTAGAGAATCCCAGAGAGACTCCCTTGTGGATTAAGTGTCAGATGTGGGAGTCCCTGTAACATTTATTTCCTCCATGAGTCCCTAAGGGGGCTCTGGGAGCTCGGCAGGGAATGTTTCATCCTCCTCCTCCTCCTCAGGGATTCTCCCTGGGCTGCAGGGACCAGGGCAGTGACTGCTTTACCTGTCTGCACTTGTCCTGATGGATATAAATATATATAAATAGATGTATGAGAAGGGGAATCTGATCAGCTGGGGCTGCCCCTGGATCCCTGGCAGTGCCCCAGGCCAGGCTGGACATTGGGAGCTCCTGGGACAGTGGGAGGTGTCCCTGCCATGGCAGGGCTGGCTCTGCTCATCCTTAAAATCCCACCCAAATCATCCTGGGATTTTGTGAATTGGTTCTTCATGTTCACTTCCCTGTGCCAGGCACCTTCTCCCCTTGCACAGGAATTGTCACTTGAGGAATGGAGAGGAGGCTGCAGTTCCAGATGCTCCCAGTGCTGCTGATTTTATTCTTCACTCTTTTTATTGTTTGTGGGAATTCCCTCTGTATCCAACTGCTGACAAAGAATTCCCATGGATGTGCTTTCAGAGAATTTGTTCTTTTCAATACTTGAAATCTGTCCAAGACAACTCTTAGCTCTGAAACGTGGGTTTATCGAGAACATTTTGCTTTATATTCAGGATCAGTTTTATTTAAACCTCAATTCTTTTGGAGCTTTAGTGGCTTCGCTTTCTGTCCCCATGAGCTCACAGAGCACATTTTATTCCCATAACCAAAGTGACTGAAATTCTGGTTTTGTTCTCTGGTTTTAAAGCACTTTTTAGTTCTTTGTGCTTATTGACTCCAGCTATTTAACTTGTTATACAGCAACCTCTGTGCAGTAAATTCAGATGACAAATGACTTGTTTATAAATTCATTTTAGACAAGTTCAGTAGATTCAGGAGCAACACCTCAAAAATTCCTGCATCATTTGAATTGACACAACAGGGAAACAAACTCCTCCTTAGCTGCACACGGTGCTGAGGTGACCTTTGGGCTCCAGGACTTTGTGCTGGTGCAGTTCCAAACTAAAATGGTTTTCAGCAAGACTTCACTTGCCCACCTGGGGCCTTTAATGAGCAAAGCACTGGAACTGAGCTGGAGGGACCCCCAGGATCAGCCAGTGCCCCCCTGCCCTGCCCAGACCCCCCAACAAGCCCAGCCTGGGCATCCCTGGATGCTCCTGGAGCTCTGGCAGCCTCGGGGCCGTGCCCATTCCCTGGGGAGCCTGGGCAGTGCCAGCAGCCTGTGGGGAAAGAAGAGCCTTGCCCTAAAAGCCAACCTAAATCCCTGCTGGGCCAGCTGCAGCCGCTCCCTGCTGCTGTCCCTGTGGCAGGAGCAGAGCCTGGAGCTGTCCCTCTGCCAAATGAAAGTGAAAAAATAATAAAATGTTGTTTGATAAAAGGTTGGAACATTTAAAATACTGCATTTGGTTCCCACATTGCTGGTTCCAAGTGAAGTGCCTGCACAGCAGCTTTCATGATTTGTGGAATTCCCTGTGAAATGGGGCTGTGCAGTTCCTCCTCGGACCCGTGGCTGCTGTTTGTGACTCTGCTGCTTCTGTGCCCTGAGTGCCCAGGGGCTCAGGCAGGCCCTGGGTCACAATTCAGGGGTGAGATTTCATTTCCTGACACGTTCTGAACCATTCCAGGACGGTGGTTTACACTTTTGGATGCATTCTTGCCCTCACATGTAGGATTTTACTGTCCCCAAGCAGCCTCTGGAAAGGGATTGGTAGAATCAGTGACTCATGGAGTGCTTGAGTGGGAAGCACCATCCTCAAGTGCCACCTCCACACCTTTGAACAGTGCCAGGGAGGGCGATTCCACACTAAATAATGCTTCAGGTTTTGCCAGTGGCGCTGCCCAGGCTTGTTCCAGCTCCTCCTGTGCACCTCAGAGGGAAGAGCTCTGCTCTGACAGGAACACAGTGCTCTGCTTGAGACATTCCAAACGTGCTGAAATTATTGAAAGTAACTGAGAAAATGGGGTTGGGCATTGCAGATGTTTGAGATGGAGAGATCTGTTTGATCCCAGACAATGTCCTCACCCAAATCCTGGGATGGCCTCTCAGTGGAGGGCCCATCCCAGGGGATTTAAGGGGAATTGGTGGCATCTGGAACAGGTGCTAGGAAAGCTGGATGTTGCACTGCTGTGATTTAAATAATTCAGCACTGCTGAGGTCCCTCCAGGGCTGGCTCCAGTTGTGGCTGGTGCAGGAGAGCCCTGGAGGGGCTGGAGCGTGTCCAGGGCAGGGAACGGAGCTGGGAAGGGACTGGAGCCCCAGGAGGGGCTGAGGGAGCTGGGAAAGGGGCTGAGCCTGGAGCAAAGGAGGCTCAGGGGGCCCTTGTGGCTCTGCACAAGTCCCTGGCAGGAGGGGACAGCCGGGGGGGTCGGGCTCTGCTGCCAGGGAACAGGGACAGGAGGAGAGCTCAGGCCTCAGGCTGGGCCAGGGGAGGCTCAGGGTGGACAGCAGCAGGAATTTGCCCATGGAAAGGGAGCTCAGGCCTTGGCAGGGGCTGCCCAGGGAGCTTTGCAGTGCCCATCCCTGCAGGTGCCCAAGGAAGGGCTGGACGTGGCACTCAGGGCTCTGGGCTGGGGACAAGGTGGGCATCGGGCACAGCTGGGACTCCCTGGGCTGCGAGGGCTTTTCCAGCACCAGGATCCTGGGATTCTGTGAATAATTTACCTGAGTGAAGGGCTGCTCTCCTGGTGTGCTGTTCCCTTCTCCTTAAGGATTTGGAGGTAAACTGTGATATCATTTTGCCTGCTCCTGGTTCCCTCTAACAGGACAGATTTAAGTCTCCTGTGGCCTTGTCCCTGCAGATGGGGCCAGCACAAGGCTTACAGGGAGATCTGGCAGTGGCACCGCTTAGAAAACCTCCCCAAATGAAAAGGAATCAGCAGCTGTGGCCAGGGATGTGGATCAGGATTTCCACAGCAGAACCTCCCTTCCCAAAAGCAGCATCTTGTTTTAGGCTCAGTGTTTATCTTGGGAGACCCAGATCTCCAGGGCTGACTTTGTAGGGAAGAACAACAACATCTTTACTCTGTACAAAGAGACTTGAAATGATTTTTGCATTTTTGGAGCCCATTGATGTGCAGGGGCTGTGGTGCTGGGAGGTCAGGGCACAGATCTACAGTTACTTTTGTCTGTTGGTTCTCCAAGTCCAGCCAGAATGGCAGAATCCATGGATTCCCTGTCCTGAGAACAAAGCAAGTTCATTATTGTCATTTCCCCTGCTTTTACTGCATTGAAGAAAAGAATTGCCCAGAGCAGCTGGGGCTGCCCCTGGATCCCTGGCAGTGCCCAAGGCCAGGCTGGACATTGGGAGCTCCTGGGACAGTGGGAGGTGTCCCTGCCATGGCAGGGCTGGGAATGGGTGGGATTTGAGGTCCCTCCCAACCCAAACCATTCCAGGATTCTGTGATCAATGGAATTCAGTTCACCAAAGTCCTTTGGCATCCATGAAAAACGAGCCAGACATTCCCACTTGGAAAGGAACCCAGTTCTTCTTTGGTGATGTTAATACAAAACCAAGAAAAATCCCTGTACTTGTGCCCCTCAGGAAGAAAATCCCCTCCCAGGAAAGTCTCTTTGGGATGTTCTGCTCAGATCTGGGCATTTTTTTTTTCCCCAAATATTTCACATCTAAAAGCAGAGTGTTTGTCGTGGTTCAGAGTAGCCCATGCTGCCAAGGGA